CCATCTCGTCCACCGCCGTCCTCTGCCTGATAGGCCGCAGAGATCCAAGAGCCCGATTCTAGTCGGTTGACATCTTCGGAGTTGTAGCCCGCCCGGTCTGGGGAATCGGAACTATACCCACAAGCTTCACGAGCGACACGGACTATGCGCCGTTGCTCTTGAACCTCTGCCTCGGTAGCTTGACCTGCAGCTAAGAACTCCTCGAAGACGACCAATCTGGCCTCGGCGTATACCCACATATCATGCGCCTCACGATGCGCATCCCCATCGGGCCTTGACGCAGCAGTCCGCTTGAGGACTTCAATCTCAGCCGCCTTGGCACCAAGTTCGGAGGTCAGAGAGGCAACCTTAACCCGCAAATCAGCAGCTTCCGCCGCTACCCCCCGGCCCACCTCCAACTCTTCTTCTTTAGACTGGAGAAGAGTCTCCAGCTCAATATTCCGGGCCAGGGCGGCCATCAGCTGCTCATCAATCTGCTCTAACTCGGCCACCCTCCTTCTCAGCTGGGCCTCCGACTCCTCCAAACCCTCGCGAAAAACCCGAAATTTTGGGTCTTGCTTGAGTAGGTCCGCCAGCGCTTGATGCTTGACTCGGCACCGCCGATACTTCTTCACCACCTTGTTGAAGGTGGCCGCCTTCCTTTGTGCTCGCCGCCCCCTCTCTATCTCCAGCACGAGAGTCTAAAAAAAAGAGAAAAAATGGAAGAGCAAGTCAGCATGTATCAAAATTTATTTTACGATACATGAAGAGAATCGAAAAGTACCTGTAAGGCCGCACCGGCAACCCTCCGGGATAGTTCCCCGTCGCTAACCCCTTGTAACGTTTCACGCTCAGCGGCCGCACAAAGTAGGGTCATATCCGCTGCGGCCTGCTCGCTGTGTTGCAACAGGTTATACCCCCCCGGGATCAGAATTCGACGGTTGGATCTACCTACCGTCATCCCAACACGGGCCGGACCCCGCGTTGACGCTTCTGCATCTGCCTGGGCGACCTCAGGGCCCATCCTCTCGGCACCACCATCCGCCTCTCCGACGGCAGCCGACGAGCCGACTTCCGGAATGCGTGTTGGCCTGGCGTCAGGAACAGCCCCCCTTTGGAGAGCCAACCTCCCAGAACGGATGGCATCCGCCATAAGAACAGGCCGTGACTCCCGACGAGCCTCACTCGCCCCCTCATCTACCGTGGCTACCCCCTTGCCGGTTATCAACCGACGTCTCTTTCTTTCCGGCGTCTCCTCACTGTTGGAGGACCCCTCCACAGCCCGAGGGGACGACATCGAAGGAGTCGCTCCCCTCGCGGACGTCGCCACAGGCAGCGGTTGAGGAACCTCCGTGGCGTCATCACTGGGCGAACCGCAGGGTATGAACCCACCTTCAGAATCGGCCCCCGCCCCAGGTAAGGTGACGACTCTCTTTTTCTTCTTCTTAGAGGCGCTCCGACCTGCCAAAAATGAACAAGTCAGGTAACGAATACGTAAGGAATCCCCAAACAGTAGCCAAAAAAAAATTTTTACCTGACGGGCCGTACTGTCGGAGAAAGGCAGCCCAGGTGCGGCACTCCTCCGCATAGGGTATTATTCTTCCCACCCACGGTTTAATGTCATCAACGAGCTGGGGTGGAGAGGCCCTCGCTGCGAATAAAAAAAGAGAAGAAAGAAAAACAAAGGTCACAATGGCCTTATAGTCAAAAGCGCAAGCGGCACTAAAATTTACAAATAGAAACACTCACGTTCGGGATTCCATTTTTCCGGGAAACCCTCGGGATTCGACACCAGGTGCTCCGTCCTGATGTAGAAATATTTACGCCAAAAACGGCGGTTGGGCTTGTCATCGGCTTGAACAACCAAGCCCTTTGCGCCACGACCTTTCAACTGCAGCATGGTACCCCTCAGGTAGCCAGCGCTGAACAACTGCAAGAGGTGATGGACTGAGACGCTGCACCCAGCCCTGGCCGCATAGGTGGTCATGATACGGCACACCTTCAAAGTATAAGGAGTGAGCTGGGCCGGGCACACATTGTAAAAACGGCAAAGCTCCTCCACCAGAGTATAGACTGGAAGGTCGTAACCGATCAAGAACGGGTACTCGTAGAAGGCGCAATATCCAGGCCGGTGCACATTGGCATAATCCGTTCCGGCCGGAACCATGTCCACATGGTCCGGAATACGGTGCGTCTCTCGCAACTCGTCTAAATGGGATTGAAGCAAAACGCTGTGCTCCCAGGGAAGATCAGGGCTTTTAGTCGGAAAATCCCTGCGAACGTGCATCTTCTTCGGAAGGACGTTGTCTACGCTGAGAGGAACAAGGGCCTTCTCCGCCTTTTCCCCTTCACCACCAGAAGATGGCGGAACCCTAGACGGGACATTATCCTTGGCCTTTTTATTATTTTTTCCGCGTTTTGCCATGATAATACTACTTGAGAAACGAAGCACTGACAAAAGGAAGTGTGATTTCAACAGATGTGGGAAAGTCCTTCACGAAATAATAGTTACAGGAAAGAAAGGCAAAGGGATGTATCAGAAAACACTTTTTAGAGGCTTGAAAGTGGGATCAGATCAAACCCTTCTCATACTTATAAGGATAAATTGCACAGAAATCGAAGAGACATGATTCAAAACGTGTGCCGGAAACCAAAACGTCACTTCATCCTCTGAACCGCCTCGGGGGCAAACATAATGATGATGCATACAGGCGATGACATCATTCCAAAAAGGAAGCCACGCGTCAACGGCTCGACAGTCTCAAATGTTTCACTTTATTCATATTGCCGCCCCCGGTCGAGGTCAAATTCTCCCAAGACGAGGTTCGCATTTCCGCCCGCCGAAGACGCCCACCAAACACGTCTCCAACGAGCGGAGGGACTAACTGTATAGGGTCAAATTTGACCCTCAGTATCTCTACGCCAGTAGGTACGCCCAATGAGTGTACGCCGACTAAACGTAGCGGGTACGACTCGGCCGTGAGGACCAAAGCGACGTCGTTTAGAACTCAGCGTCTACACTAGGGAGACGTTACCTATCTCTGTAACTTTTTGATTCGTTCGAGGAAGGTCTCCTATTATATAAAGGGGACCTCCACATTGTAAAGGGGGCGGCTGATCTAATACAACTCTCTCCTTTTCTGTCTTTCTCTCTCTATATCTCTACTTCTGACGAAAATATCTTATGAACATACATTATCATCTTTGCAACACTAGATCTACAACAATATTATCATCTTTGCATCTCTAGGTTTATTATATTTAATTACGATTTACCCCTTCTCTATTTTTTGATTGTTTTATCGCTTACAAAGTACATCGTTAACTTTTGAGCCAAACAAGACTCTTAGTTTATATACAATTTTTTATTATTTATCAAATGCATAAAAAAATAAAGAATAATAATTTGATCGAATTATAAGCTTACCTAATCGCACTCTATATCTTCTCCGTTCTTGCACGTCTGCTTGGTACCTAGCACTTAACGAAATTAGAATACCAGAAAAGTCAAGAATTAAAAGATAGAGAACAGAGTTTCTAATCATTAAACAAAATGTGGATAAATCAAGAAGGTTGATAAAGACAAAAGCGAAGGAGAAGGTATAGTCATAGAAAGTTAGTTTCCATCTGAAGTTGACTTCGTCGTTCATATTCAGCTTTGACCAAACAAAACTAAAATAGCACATTTAAAAAAAAAATTATAAATAATTTTAAAAGCACTTTTTAATTCAAAAGTACTTCGTCAATTAGGTATAGCCAATTAGGCAACTTGCTTTGCCCATGCATGCACAGTAGCCAGTGGGCTTCAGAGAACCACGCATTAATTTTATGTCAACATCTTCTGGAATTAGATCACCAAAGTCCAAGAAATTTGAAGTCTTTAATGCCTTCATATAAATTCTCATATTTGCAACCATATAAAAAAAAAAGGAACAAAGGAAAATATATACTTGTCAAAAAACTTCATTTTCTACAATCTCAAACCAAATTTTATCTTTTCATAGTTCAAATCTTTGGGTTATTGCAAGTGTCTAGTCCCTCCCCCGCGGATTCACCATTCCGGATTTCAACTTTATGGTTTTAGATTAGAAATTATATTCTTTCTACCCCCCCCCCCCCTCCCCCGCCCTACTCCCCTTTTTTCAATAAATAAGCCCGCGGGCCCCCCTCTGATAAGAAAGGAAACAAAATAATCTCAATTTTACGACAAATCCGGTCTGATGGTTGTTCTCCACTAACCACAAGGCTATAGGGACTCTTTATTTCATCTTCGGTGCCATTGCTGGAGTGATGGGCACATGCTTCTTAGTACTGATTCGTATGGAATTAGCACGACCCGCCAATCAAATTGTTGGTGGGAATCATCAACTTTATAAATTGATGAAATTAGCACGCCTAATTTACTGGGTTCAAAATCTATGTCTTGCGCTTATTTAATAAAGTTTTTTAATATAAATATATTGTATTAACTAAAATGGCTGGATTCAGATGAATTTGTAACTTTTTTATTGCCTCGTCCGTGCCTCTTGCTCCTTAGGGTGTCACTATTAGTATAATTTAGGAGTTCAAATAATTTTTTTCTTAATTACGATTTTCTCAAACATTTTAACTAAAAGAATTATGATCCGAAGCACTTTTACACACAGGAAAAAATGCATAATTAATTAAGAAATCAATGATAATTCAAGCTGAGAATGATAATTTTTGATTCAGAAAAATAAAAAGTAATCAGAGTTCACAATTAGATCGAACAACCTTTATGAAGACAAATAAAATATTATAATTTGAAATGTCAAACTATCTGATTTCATATTTATAAATTGGCACAACTTCTACGGAAAATACTCTTCATCGAATACATGGACAATGACCATTTATCATTATGAGTATTCTAGAATCTATTTATTTAATACTAATAAAACCAATTAGTCTCAAGGATAAAAATAAAGATAAAGACATTTGCCTGCAGACGAAGGTGTCTAATTTCTAAAAAAGCGGTAAATCATATCAATCAATAATTAGTCAAATCACTAATAAAAACTGACGGATCCATCAATTAAAGAATCATGTTCTAGAATGCCAAAGATAAATCAGATTCTTGAAATATAGAGAATATGACTCCCAAATCCTGCAGCAACATTAATTTCTAGACCCTGCAATTATAGACACTTTCAATCCGTCAGTTTCAGAAATAATATTTTTTATTTTTATTTTTGGAAATGTAATTAAGCTGATGATTCTTTATTAATGAAACAAGAACTCACGCATGAATATATAACTTCATAAATCAAATTTTTAATATCTTTCATACAAATAGATGTTCAAACTTTGTCTCAAATTAAGGATTATTCCAAGAATTGATCATTTTAGATATGTACTGAAATAATGTGCAACTGAGCTAATATAATATGGTTCATCTAAAAGCTTTTGAAAATGCCCATATTCAGTTAGTCAAACTTGTATTTATCTTTATGAACTTGACAATACTTGTGATATCTTTATGGGATAAGATTAAGTCCTAAGTCATTACTACATATTTAAAATAACAGCATTAGGCCTGTCAAATCCATAGTTTTATTTTACAATATCAATGTAGTTTACAAAATCAATAACATGTCAAACTATCAATTTATGTTTCGTATAGCAAGTTATCTGTAATTATCTAATAAGTGATCTTATATGGTGCGAAAAATTCTTTATACTGTCAGCATAATGGCTTCATTTGGGTACATATTCAATATTTTAAACCATTATTAAAAGTGTTGGGTGTGCGAACAAAGTCCCACATTGATAGTTGAAAAGATTGGGAGTCTACATATAAGGTGTAGGGATCTCTTAATGGTGTGAGGCCTTTTGGGAAAAACCGTGTGGGCTTGGCCCAAAGCGGACAATATCACACCATGTTAAGAGTGTCATTGGGTCGTTTTAGCCCAACAACTGGTATCAGAGCCCAGGTTTAGCGGAACGAGTATGGAGATGGCAGAGTGATGGTGCAGGGCGGTGCACACACAAGAAGAAGCTAGTTGCGGGCTTCGGTTGCCATAATACTCTAACAATGTGGGTGGCACACAGTGAATCTCGAAAATTGACCCGGGTATCGTGGTAGTGGGCCACGTGGAACTTAGTTCGAGGGGGAGATTGTTGGGTGTGCGAACAAAGTCCCACATTGATAGCTGAAAAGATTGGGAGTCTACATATAAGGTGTAGGGATCTCTTAATGGTGTGAGGCATTTTGGGAAAAACCGTACGGGCTTGGTCCAAAGCGGACAATATCACACCATGTTAAGAGTGTCATTGGACCGTTTTAGCCCAACAAAAAGAGTGGTTCTGCCTTGGTGAGAGAGGCCAGAAATTAAACAAGTTTTGAGCAATAATTAAGAAGCTATTAATTACGTAGTACTTACTGTCGGAAATCAATATTGAGGGAAGGTGCATTAGGATCAGCAATGGCAGCAAGAGCAGCATTGGAAAGCACCATGGTTGTGCCTTCCTTAATAGGCTTAGAGAGTGCAGTTTGTGCCCGGTCAACGATCTTGATCTGAATTGTTTCTCCATGTTTACAAGCTCTAGGTAATATTGAGTTAATGCAACTGATCAAATATTGTCTCCCACAAGCAGCTCCATTGTCCCAAATTCCTTCCCCAGCTGCTGCAAAAAAGTTGCTTGAAGGAAACTGTGTTGCATCACTTCCATAACATTCAGTAGCTGTTGAAGAACAAAAATGGAATTAATTATTAAGTGCCATTGCAATAACTGAAGGGGAACCTTGAAGCAATGTCTCCGTGTATATGATCTATAGGTCAAGGATTTGAGCCATGGAATCAAACCACTAATATTTGCGTCAGGGCAAGCTGCCTACATTACAACCCTTAATTATTAGGGTGCAATCCGTCCCCCATCCGACGGGAACGCAGGATGCTTCGTGCATATGGCTACCTTTTTTGTACCATTATATTACAATAACTAGTATGCTTCAGAAGGGGAGCTTTGTCGTAACTGGTAAAGTTGTTGCCATGTGACCAGGAGGTCACGAGTTCGATATGTGGAAACAGCCTCTTGCAAAAATGTAGGGTAAGGCTGCGTACAATAAACTCTTGTGGTCTAGCTCTTCCACGGACCTTGTGCATAGCGGGAGCGCGCTTACAATCGCAAACATATGAGATCTGCTATATGAATTCTCACTGTCCATGTCGCTCCATAATTTTAAAAAAAAAAAAAAATTGAGGTTTGAATTAATGAAAGTACTTACGTGTGTATGGTGGGCTATACTGGCTTGCTGTTCCAAGATCAGCTAGAGAAGCATGAAAGAGGTGAGCAAATAGGAAGAATGTTGGCAGCCATGGGAGAAGATGAAGTGACGAAGGCTTTGACATCCTAATTATTAAACAGCAAAGGAGTAAATAATTAGGCTTCTTGTTTGCAGTCTTATGCAGCATATACTATTTTCCCATATGTATTGTTTTCCACTTTATATATATACTACTACTAGTATATAAGAATATTGAATGTACCATAGATAACATTTTTAAAGGAATTTTGGTCAACTCTCTTTTATAATACACTTTTAATGTTTGATTAATCAGAATTTTGGTAGAAATCTGATCCCAAGTGACTTTTTAAAACATTATTGATAACAGATTTAAGTATTGCATGAAGTCACATTTACTGAACATCCATTAATTCAAAGTCAACTATATACATATTTTGTCAGGTTTAAAACCTTATTGTTGCTTTTTTATAATTTGTGGATTATTTCTAACGTATAGAAGAGGAAAACCTACTTTGAATTGAGCATACCATCAAAAGGAAAAGGGGTAAGGTACCTTTCAATACGTTTGAAAAGAGAAACTTATAACTTATATATGTGATAACAAACTTTCACATAAAGAACGAAGAATATTGAGAAATAATTAAGACTATAATAACTAACCAACTACCAATAGTAAATGTAACGCATATATATCAGAAAAAAAAAAAAAAATTTAAGAGACATGAATGTGTAGGACATAACAATATTTCTAAGGTACACATTAGGTATGAAAGTTTTGAGTTACGTTTGACAATGTTTTAGCCAATATATGAATTTTTTCTTTAAATACTAATTTTGAGTTTTTAAATATATATTTGAGTTGAAAACTTGGAAAGAAAAGATACTCAATTTATTTATTTACTTTCTCAAGGTGCATGGGACACCAATGACTAAGAACGGGTCCAGAATTTCTATCACTTTCCCCTTTTAGTGGTTATTATTTTATTTTTTTTAATGATTCGTAGTTAAATTAAAGAATTAAAGGTAAGCAGACTTTTTCTTAGTGTGAAAAGGGCACAAACAGAACAAGTCATGTGAATCCATGGAATATATCGTGGGTAAAGAACTCGTTTAGGGTCAACGAACGGCTGCCGACTTAATAACTCCAATCACGAAGCTGTTTAATTTGGCTCTAATTAATTAATTCGAACTAGAGATTCGGTAATTTGGAATTCTCTAACATGGTTTTCTATAGTTCTACATTCTCGGACTAGGAGGAGCGTTAAATATTTACTTACTGTTAATTTACTAGAATAATAAGTGTTTAGTGGTAAGACGAGTGTTTGTTTAAATTTAAATTTAGATAAATAAGTTAATTGAAAGGTTTTTAAATTTTAAATATTTATTTTGTAAACTTTCATCACTAAACAGACTTGAGTCTCCTAGGTAAGGGTGGGCGTTCGGGCCGTTCGGATTGAATAAGAAAATTTCAGTTTGGATATTCGATTTCCGAATTAAATAAATAACAATCCAAATCCAATCCATATAAGATCAGATTGGATCGAATTTTTAAGTTTGGTTTTGGATTAATCGGTTTGAATATTTCGGATTTTCGATTTTGAGCATGTAAGTTTAGATGTTTCTTCTTGTTACAAAAATGAACATCCAAATAAAATCCATGTTAAATTATCTAAAAAGTTGCTCGTTCTCACTGCAATCATCCAAATAAAATATTCAAATAATGAAATCATTATCAAAGAAATACAACAAAGACATTAATAAAGCCGATAAGAAGTAGCAATAATAAAACTATGTCTAAATAGAAAGTATTTTGACAGTAACTTAGTAAATAGTATTGAATATACGAGATAATGTCAAATGGGTAGGGTATTGGACTTATTACTATTGGCATATGGATAATGAACTACATATAAAGTATAAAAATTTTGAATTTTTGGATATCAATAAATCTGAAGTACCAAATCCAATATCCAATCCGAAATCCAAACAATTTAAAATTAAATCCAAAATCCTATCCGTAATCCTAAAATCCAAACCAAAAATCTAAAAAATTCGGATGTCGGTTTGAATTTTGGGTTTGTCCAAACTATGCTCACCCCTACTCCTAGGCCCTAGCAAAACCTAATGTAAGCTTACCTTTATGAAAATAAGAGCAAATTTTAAAAACATAAAATTAATTCCTTAAGGATACTTATTGGGACAAAATAAAAAGGTAAAAATATCACTATGAACCGGAGGTAACAATAATAATGGGGAGAAATTCAAAAATAGCCAGATTTACAAGTGGTCATTCAAAAATAGCCACAGTTTCAAAAATAATCGAAATTTAGCCACTTTTCATGTAAAGATAAATCTGAACGAAAACACTGTTCAAAATCCGGAAAAATACTCCAGTATAATATACTGGAACTTTTCGCGTGTTGGAGGTCCAGCATAATATGCTAGAAGTTCATACACAGGTGCACCGATCTCGAGTATATTATGCTGGAACTTTTTGTGTTGCAGCAAAATAGTGACGATTTCTCAATGATTTTGCAAACGCTGGCTATTTTTGAATGACCAGTCCGAAAATTTGCTAGCCCGTATTATATTTACATAATAATGCACTGTATCAAAACACGATCATGAAACAATCAAAATTGTTGTTATAATTATTAAATCCTAATCCCTATAGACGTAAGTATCGGGGGCAATCAATATCCGAAGAATTTCTCGGAGTGATGAACGGTAACCCAACATGGAAGGATGGAGAAATTACTATTTTTCAATGTGCAACTTGTAATTATTAAATGTATTATATATAAACACAAAAATAGCATATAATATTCTTTTTATAGCTAGATCCAATCTCCTGACCTTGCGGAAAGGAATCAATTTCATGCTCTTCTTTTCAGAGATAACTTGGAAAATCATATTGCATGTAATTTCCAAGATTATATTCCCTGAATAACTTTTTTTCCCAACCAACGAACCCTTAATTACTTGATTTAGTTTTAGTCTACAAGAACTATTGGAGATTGATGTTGCATTTATTTATATGAACGTGTTTCCACAATATTATCCAGAATATATCAATCCTATATTCCTACGGTATTGAATCTATCAATGAATGAAAAAAATATATCATTCAACTGAGCAAGACTGTCAGGTATATTCTTATTCTAACCGCAAAATCGTTCTTGCTACCTAAGTTAAAAAACAAGCCCGCTCGTACTCTACTTTAATCTAAACATAACTTTCCGAACCATAACATAAATAGTAGAGTAAATTGATAACTACAACAATTTACAAGTTAAAACTCAAATTAAAGAAAGCCAAGAGGATTGGGGTGAAAACTAGAGAAGTCATTGAGGGGAAGTCATACCTGAATCGATATTTGGATGCAGAGACGAATGATGCCTGCTAAATAGTTAAATAGTTAAAGTTTGATAGGAAGATTCAATATTGTGTTTTATGCATGTATACATCAAATGATTCGAGATTTTGTATTATATATATATAGTAAATGCTCATCAACAAGATTGCACAATTAAGGAAACAAGAATCCGTAATTAATTTGTTCTATTCTTTCCTATAAATACAATTCGAAGATGAATGAAAAAACAGATTTACCCCAAAAAGGAAACTTAAAAGCAACAATTACATCTGTTAACGATGCCTTGCCCACAACAGCAATTAAAACATTCACTTAGAAGCAAAAGTTAACAAAATAATGGTTTTTATCTCTTTGGTGCGAAGTACTCTGACTGATCATTGACTTAAATTGTGTTTATTGGACGTATTATATAGGGGTTAATTGGGTCAAACTGAATCTTTCAGTCCAATAATCTGTTAAGAGAGGGTGGAGAAAAATCTGAAAGAATAAAAGAGAAAAATAATACAAAGCGTATTTTATGGCTTAAGGATAGGTTGGTGACCAACAATAGATATTTGGCTATAAAAAACAAAAGGTAGCTATGGAATATAATTTTTTTTAAAAATATTTATTTAAAATAAATAAGGTATCAACTTTTGCTGATAAAAATGTTGCGTTCCAAATTAGGAATGAGGCTAGGTCTCGATTTAGAAAGATGGACTCAAAAGCCTAAACAGAAAATTACATATTCTCTATGTTTACGCTTTCACATACTGTTCTTCGGCCCATTTATATCCACATTCCCATCTACCAAATTGGGCCTGTGGTTTAGACAAAAAAATTTGGGGGATTTGTATTTATACCCGTTTTTTGGGTCACATTTTAACTTGTGCCCGCTTTGGGAAAAAATTGCAAGCGTACCCGCTTTTTCGCGTAACTTCAGCATACGAGGCTGAAGTAGCAAAGACAATCACGCAAAACTTCAGCATTCTAGTAGACGTGCCTGAAGTAGCAAGTGTGCTGAAGTTTTTGTTTGTAATTGCTGAACTTAAGCATAGTAGCTGAAGTTTTGTTCTCTATTTGCTGAAATTTTTGTTTTTAATTGCTGAACTTAAGCATAGTAGCTGAAGTTTTGTTCTCTATTTGCTGAAGTTTTTGTTTGTAATTGCACTAAATAAGCTGAAGTTTTTTGTCCTAGATTCATTAGTTTTGTCATTAAGCTTTTTCAAAAACTTCAGCAGAAGATGCTGAAGTTATTTAGTTCATTTATAAAAACTTCAGCACTAAATAAGCTGAAGATTTTTTGTCTTGGATTCATTAGTTTTATCATAAAGCTTTTTCAAAAACTTCAGCAGAAGATGCTGAAGTTATTTAGTTCATTTGTAAAAACTTCAGCACTATAAAGCTGAAGTTTTTGAAAAAGCTTTCTAATATACTAGCTAGATTGAAACACTAGTAACTCATGGTTCAATTTTCTTAACACAGGATTATTATGGTGTCTGTACCCTGCTGGTGCAGAAGCTATATTATAAAAATAAATAAAGGATGAGCAAGTGAGAAAGGAAAGATACAATACAGAAAGCAAAAAGAAGAAGAAAGTGAGAGCGAGAAGTTTCATAAAACCCTCATGAACTTGATATATGAGTCAACAGGATTCAACATATATCTGTATTACTGTGTATTCATAGCAGCACCAACAGCAGCAGAAGAAAGAAGAAGAAGAAGAAGAAGAAGAAGAAGAAAACGAAGGAGGAGAAAGGGGGCTGAAGTTGTTTAAAAGGTGGGTACAAGTTAAAACTTTTTAAAAAAATGGGTATAGGTTAAATGGGGGCGACCAAATAGGGTGC